TTTAAAAATTGCTGGGGTCACATAGACCTAGTGTGACTGATTCGTTCGAAAAAAAATGTGTGACTTCTAAGAGATAAATAAAATAAGAAGTATAACTCCCGTTTCGTTGGAGCGACCACCCAGTCGTCAACACATTTTGTTGCTGCTATATCACCTGAAAATAAGACGTTATATAATGAATATGTTACAACAGTTACAGTACAGTTTTGTTATGTTACCGTCTTTTTCAACATTATGTTGAAAAGCACATTACCAATAACATATAATACTTACATCTATTTTAATTGTCCGTTTCAACTTTTCTTTCATATTGTTCTCCCTCTGATTCGTATGCATATTTCTTTCTGACGTCTCTTATTTTTATTGTAATAATTTTGAACGAATCATTCAAATGTTTAAATCTTATTGTATCATTCATATTCAACTCAATCAGGTAGTCATTATACAAACCTACAAAACAATCAATGAAAGTATTAAAACATAATAAATAGATAATGGGATGGTATAAAGAAAAATGTTTATATACTTAATGCTAAAGATAGTTTCCGCGGACTAAGTTCTTTAACTGTGCCACTAGATGGCTTATAATACGTTCTGTTTTCGTCAAGGCATCTATTTTTAAGAATATTGTATGGCCAAATGTAAAGCAATACATCATGCAAAAACAAAGAAGGCTTTTTACGCAGTTTTGTCATTTCCCAAGACAGTTGACCAACCGATATGTTTTCTCCTAAGTATATCTGTTAAAAATATATATTTTGAAAATAACAAGGCTATTATAATTAATAAAAGTAGTACACACAGTAGAGAAGGCCAATGTAATAGTTTTACATATAAGGAAAATAAATAAACAAATGTCTTACTCTTGTATTTGATATTTTATCATAACGCTTATGAATATCATAAGAATCTTCAAAGTTCAAAGCATCCTTTAACCGTTTTCTTTTCACTTGCTTATTATTTAACTGTACTGCAACTGAAAAATAAACAGCATTCTTAACATTGTTATTTATTTTACTTTAAAACGTGTTCCGAATGCATATATGCAAAAACGTTTTAAAGTAAACTACAATTACATCTTACAATCGAGTGAAGAATATTTCTTTTGTGACGTTAATGTATCCTAACGGATTTACTAAGAATGTGTAACAGGGGGGAGGGGTGTCAAAAGTATATATGTTATTACATAGCAGTATTATACTTATAAGTATAAAATATTACCAATTTCGTCTTCATTTGAATCGCTGTCATCTATTGTATTTTGCTCCCTATACCGATTATTTTCCGTTTCCAATAAACGTCTTCTCACGCTTTCATTACTTGTACTTGCTAAAAATATAATGGGAGGACGTTGATTATAAATCTCTCCTTGTGTATTTTATTTTATGTTTTTAGTTCTTCAATATTGTATTCTCTTTTTGCATAACCGCTGATTATTAGAATATTCATCAGAGATAATAGTTTTATTGTTTCCTGTATTGCATGTTATGTTAAAGTGTAATTAATTTGCATTTTTTTTATTTTCAGAAAATACACATTATTCTCTTTATAATTGTATTATCATATTCTTATTTTCGAAAATATTTATGGTCTTGAAAACATGTAATGAATACTCATTGTCTGTTAATATAATTAGAATACTCTTTTCATATCGAAACACTTGTGTAATAACATGTAACAATTTGTTCACAATATCCATAAAAACAGTATTTTTACCCGGGAAAAAATTTTCCATATATCATCATATATTTAATAATATTATATTTTAAATTTGTCTTTATATGGCTACTTATA